GGCAGAATAAATAAAATTCAGAACTTCACTTTTGGCAATATACTACTGGAACATCTGAAAATGGTAATTCCATCTCTGGAAATTAGGATGAACTTAACTTTTGAAACCAGATCAGATATTTCTTCCTGAACTGCATAGAAGAACCGCAGCCTGAAATTTGTGTAGATAGCATGCCACATTCACTTGTTTCTCAGATTTTTCTGAACCAATATTACATTCAGCATTAAACTTATTGCATTCTCAAATAAATATCATCCTTATAAAAACTGCAATTATATTATGGTTTTGTCTTTTGCACTATGTGGGTAATATTTAGGATATTTCAAGAAAATGTTTAGGATATTTCAAGAAAATGTAAACTAAAAGTTATTTTAACATCATGTGAATATCAGAATGATCTCCTGATGCTGGCAGAGTGGGTATGTTGCTTTATTATGTTACAAAAGTCATACATTTGTAACAAAATGTGCATATTTTTATGATTACACTGTTGGTCAGGAAATGAAATTATGGATTCAGCAAACTAAAAGTGCACATTATAGTTTCTCATTATTTAAAAAAATAACAGAAAGAAGAGACACAGTCATATAATCCAACTATAGCTTACTTTAAAAAGTCATACATTAAGTTTAATATACTGAATGCATTAAGTTAAAAACCATCTAAGTAAAAGGCAAGTTAATCATCCTTTGATTTATCATGAAGTTGTGAACTTAACCAATATGTCATCATGGTCTCAGTGGTTAGAATGAAGTACTGCAGGCTACTTCTGCTGACTGCCGGCAATTTGGCAGTTTGAATCTCACCAAGCTCAAGGTTGACTCAGCTTTCCATCCTTCCCAGGTCGGTAAAATGAGGACCCAGATTGTTGGGGGCAATAGGCTGATTTAACCTCTTAGAGGGGGCTGTAAAAGCATTGTGAAGTGGTATATAAGTCTAAGTGTTATTGCTATAGAAAGCTTACAGGAGTTTCTTTCAAGCACTACACAAGCCTCACCCGAGACTTTTTTTAGAACTTGCACTTCATCCTAGTAACCATTTGTGAATGGACAAGCCCACTCAAAGGAAAGCCAACATGCCCAAACCCCCACAAAGGTTGGAGCCCTTAAATTTAATAATGGGAAAGTCAACATAAGATGGGTAGAGAGAAAAACCTTAGAGGAGTTAGTAAGAACAAGATAGAGACAAGATAGAGACAAGAACTAAGGCTCTTTAGTAATCCAACTGGGGGTCTCCAGGTTATTGTTTTCAGTTTAATCTCTAATCCATCGATCCATGTGTGCTCAGGTAAGTGCACACACCTAGAGTCTGCATCATAAGCTTCATAATTACAAGGGGATGTGCAAATGCTGAATTCAAATATATTGACCCCAACTGTCTATCCATTAGTCAGGAACAGATCGCATCATCTGACTCCTAAGAATAATATTAAAGTAAGGGAAAACATAAGTGCATATCTGTTCATATCACTAAAGGAACAATACAGAGAACTTTCTTTGATAAATACTCAGCTCCTTTTGGGCCTGGAAAGCTAAAAGGAAGCATATTCTAGCCTCATCTTTTAGTCAAGAAACCAAGAGTCCCCCCCCTCCCTGCCCCCAACAAGAGAAATTCAATCTGGCTGCAAAACCATATCATACTAGTTGATAATGCACTGTTTCACTAATACTTTCTAAAACTATCTTTTCTTTGCAGATTTTTGTTTTTTTAGTTACTAAAACTCAGGGCCAAGGTAGTTTATTTTTAAAATTTGAGTCACTAGTAATTATCTAAATACTGTGATAAAATTGCAGCCAATAGCATTAAATAATTTTTCTCATGTCCATTTAACCACAACTATATTCTTGCTTTCACTTAGAAAACATGAAACAGCTGTATTTTTGCCATATAATGTTTACATTTTTAAGAATGTATACTACATTACATAGTAGTTTTATAGCCTCTGCTTATATGTTTCATTAATAAATCTATGTGATAATACAACAAAGTTAGATTTCACATTCTTTTCCACTATAATCATTTGGCTTCAGTTGGCAAACCATTTGTAAAATCACTATACTGTGTTGTATGATTTTTTTCCCACCTAAATCAGGGGTGTCAAACTCATGTCATCACATCGTCATCACATGACGTATTGGGACTTTCCCCCCTTCACTAAACCAGGCATGGGCGTGGCCAGCACATGACGTAGGTCGGGAGTTTGACAGCCCTGGCCTAAATGATTGGAAATATTTATCTCAGACCGTGGCCTAACAGTGGTAGGAGTAGGAGAATGAAAGTCATGTTTTTTGTTCATAAGAATTTTCTCATCGTTTCTCTTTCTTTACTTTTTTTGGTCAGCCATTTATGAAATAGCTGAGGAAAAAGTTGAAATTTAGAAAAGAAGTTGAATTTTTCAAGAATGAAATCTTTCACTATGAAATATCATGGCAGAAAGAAAGAAGTATTCTTCGTCAATGCAAGTTTGTCCAATTTTAGAAGATATAAACGCAATGAAAAACTCACAATTTATCTTTATTGTGATCCCATGTATTTGAGCATCAGGCAGGTTATTTGTCACATAATATTAACATGCAAATAATGAAAAATATAACATCCTTTTTACATATATTTACCAATGTCATTATTTTGATAGTTTATAGTTCTCCATAAGGAATGCTGGAATAGAGACAACTATATAATACAACTAAGGCTTAAATTCTACTAAATTTAAAAAGTTCTAAGAACAAAGACAGGGTGCCAGGAGAGATAACCAAATTAGCTAAATTAGGATGCAATATTATGAAACATATTCATTTTGGCACCACAGATAATTTTCATAATACTTGATTAACCAGTTCATTTGCTATTTTCACTGAAGGATATTTTCATAAAGCCCTAATTTTAAAATTATATTAATATTATTCTGAGTATCTGAAAAAAAATTCCAAAATTATTGGAAATGTTTGCAACAAGACATTAATTGTGAGTTCAGAAAGAAATGGGGAACACTACTGTAGTTAGCAAAAATCTCAAATACTAAAAATTAAAATAGCAATAGGACTTGGACTTATGTACCACTCCATAGTACTTTATAGCAGTTGCTGAGCAGTTTACAATGTCAGCATATTGCCCCCAACAATCTGGGTCCTTATTTTATTGAGCTCAGAAGTATGGAAGGCTGAAACAAGCTTGAGCTGGTCAGGATCAAACTCCTGGCAATGGGCAGAGTTAGCCTTGGAATACTGCATAAAATTTGAACAATTTAATCACAATACATTTTAATGTATCTGACTAAATTGCTCAAGAGTGAAAGATTTTACCAGTACTGCTATTTTACTCAATACCTACATAGAACTGAATTGAAATTGAAATTGCTAAGTGGGATAAAACAAGCCTGCATAAACCTAGGTTAGAGTTAACACAGCAATTATTCAGGCAGAAAACATCACTTTCCTTTAACAACTGATCTGTCTGCAACTGATATCTCATTTCAGTTTATCGTGTATGCAAGCTACATAAATGAATAATAACAATCACTGAGCAATGTTTTTATCATGCGAAGATCCACCATGATCTACATTATATACAAATGCATGAATCAAGTAAAATTCTTGCTGGTATTACAGTAATGTGTTTAACATTTAGAATAAAGAGCAAAAAGATAACATTTTCTCCCTTCTTTATTCTAAAAAAAAGGTCTTAATCTTCACTTTTTATGAAAATACCTTATTAAGTTATTTACTAAGCAAACATGCAATGTTTTTCATTTGCTAATGTCATCACATTGATCTTGGTAGGAGCATGAAAAATAAATATGAGCCCTGGTGGTTTTACTGATAAAAATAATTTTAATTTCTTATTATCATTATGATAATTATTACATCCTCATTACCAGATGATATTCAAAACTTACTTTCATGTGTGTGGGCTTAGCAGAACTAAATACTATTCCCCATAGGCTGCTTCTCTGGCAAAAAAACAAAAAAAACCCAATGACTATACTGAATAGTGTTTTTATTGGTCTCTGGAAAAAACAATCCCTATTCCTGCCTTCTTGGCATCAACAGCCTCATACCACACTTCAAACAGCATGCTAGGATCAGTTTTCCTCATATCCATACATATGCGTGTTTATCCACATTGTTACTAAGATTACTGAAAATCTACAATTGAAAGCTCACAATTATTTCCTCTACCCTTGAAAACATTTGATCCCAGGGTGTATAGAGATTTGTGCTTACTCTGCAGATTACATGGAGTGTTATTACTTTCATTAATGAGATGTACATTGTAATGTATCTTTTTTTTAATTAAATGTACCAAAGAGAAGATTCAGTGGGGGAAGTTTGAATGACACAAGCAATGGGACCTGAAATGCTTTCCCCTTAACGTGTGATTCAAAAGCTGGGGGGGGGGGGGGCAGCTTGGTTGTAAACTTCGAGCTTTCGGCATATGCAATGCACAGCAAAGGCCAAATATTTTTCCAGTATATAGATCTTGAGGGGAAAAAATGCCAAATATATTTCATAAGGCAGTTAAGCCTCTACTGGAATCTAATCACTGCCAGATGTTTAGAAGAACATCACGAAATGCTGGCAACCCCCCACTGGTCTCTCCCAAAACTGCAGAGGCAAGTTTTAAAACTTTTTTTTAGATAAGTGGCCAAGAAATATGTGCTACAGAAAGCAGAAATCGTGCGGGTGAACACTTTGCACCCCTGGACAGAGGGTTTTTTTTAATTAAAAAACAAACCCCAAAGAGGGGTCTCTAAACAACTTACAAGAAGCTGAACCTGGGCTTTTCCTTAAGAACAAACGGCAGCTTTCATCCTTAATGACTAGCAATCCACTCAGCTTTAGTTTCTCTTCCAAACACACACAAAACACAAACCCTTTTGCAAACATATTTGCTTCCACAATAAGCCCATGTTCACTGCTGACAAGCCTCCTGCTCTTTCACAGCCGCCCAGCAAATTCCAATACCTATTTTCTGAAATAAACACCCACTCATGGGCTTACCTTTCATGTTGGCACAGGCGGTCGCATAGAAAACTCAGATGCTGGAGGAATTTGCTGGTGTTAACCCAAAACTCCTTATTGGACTTCCATGCCGGGTGCCCTGGTTCTTCTGATCAGGAGCAAGGATGGATGGAGTGGATGGATGGAACTCTTGACCTCTCGCTCAGCCCGTCTGAAGGAGTCCGAAGTTTGCACTCTCGTGACCGGCCTAAGCTCAGGCGACCAGCCTCTGCTGCCCCTCCTCTCTGCTCAGTTTTGGAAAAGAGAGAAAGCTGTTGGCTCCACAGTTCTCCCCCCCCCCCCGCAGCTCCCTTTTCCCCCCGCCTCTTTCACGAGCTGGACTGTAAAGTGAGGCAAGAAAGAGACTGTAATAATAAACCTCCAGCGAAGTTTGAATGAGGAGAAGAAACTTCTTTCCCTCTCCTCTCTCCTAAATCAGCTTCCCAAAAGTTCCAGACTGTCCTGAAAAATTCCTGCACAATCAGCTGCCGTCCCTTCCTTCTTTCCCTTTCCCTTCCCTCCCCCGTGAGGTTGACTCTTCTCGGACAGAGAGCTTCTTAAATGCGTGGCCAAAATGTTTTGGCAGAGACTTAGGTGTGTAGGCTCTCCGTAGAGGCAAAGCACTTTGAGGATGGGAAACAGAGAAGCTCAGCAGCCCCAGCTCGACATTTCAAGCCTTCCAAAGTCTGGTCCCCTTCCCAGGATGCAGAAATCTCTGTTGAAGAGGGCTGCTTGTTCGAAAAGTAGATAAATAGTCACCAATAACACATGCAGTTTCGTCCTGCTTAAATCAATATTTGTGCTCTCCCTAATGTTGTGCACCAGAGTAGGTTTTGACTTCGAAGTACTCTACTTTCTTCCAGAACATTCCATTTTCCATGTAGATTCCAAGTGTGGCTTGTGAATTTTCAGACCTTTATCATTAAGGAACAGAAAAGAGTCTACAGAACTTCCTGTTCCAGGCACATGAACCATTCTCAGAAAGCTTGGTTTGCCTGCACCATTATGCATATCCCTAATGAACACACTTCCCTTACAAGAAAACATGGTTGGCTTGTTTGTGGTTTGCTATGTTTTGAAAACCCATGCAATTGGGATAGACTGTACAGAGTTTTAAGTCCATTCTGCATCGTAACATCAGTTTGACTACTGTAAATCTTGAAGAAGCGGACTCTAGAGCAAATAACAAATAATTAATGCCTATAGTTGCCACCAAATTAAGGAATAAGCTTAAAACAATTAAAAAAATTAAAGAATGAGTAAGAAAAGACTTTCACTCTTATTCCACCAAAGTGGGAAATAAAATAAATAATGGCCACCTTCTTCTCCACATCTGACTCATATCCTTTGCTTATGTTGGGTACAGTATATTTCTCTGGATGCATGAAAAAACAACTACTACTAACTAAAATACTAGTTTCACCATGATTTCAGCTACACATAGCTTGTGTTTAGCGACAATTGAAACCTGCAACTTGATTGTTAAGCTAAATGGTCACTAAGTGAAACCTGTGCTTATGTTCTTATTTCAGTTTTCCTTCGCTTTATAAACCTTCAAAGGCAGTAAATGAAAAGATTGGTCACAAAGTTTTTTTTAATAACAGTCATTTAATAAGGATACAGTCATAACTGTAAATAGTCCCTAAACAAGGCAGTTGCTAAACATGGATTAGCTGTACATCATTGATGATTGAAAATTACTTCTGCTTAATTCTATCTTGTCATATCATCTGTGCAGTCTGAGACATCATGAGCTGATCTCACACTGAAACAGACCTTCCCTGTGGAACTGACCTCTATGGAGTCAAAAATGTCAAGATGGTGGCCATGACCATGAAATTAAAGCCAACCCCTTTTTACATGCAGCATGCTGCAGGCACCTCTCTGCCTGAAATGAGAGACAAATTCCTTCCAAGTAGATGTTGTATTGGATCCAAATATGTGAGCCTTAGAGTTCTGCTCAGAGCAGCACAAAGCTGTTCCATTTTTCTGTGTGTCTCTCAAGAGTCTTTTCTGCAGGATCAGGAAATTCTCTGGCACAGTCTTCTTCAATTTTTTGCCTTGCAAACAACCCCCCAAAACTCAGTTCCCATAACTCATTGCCTGGTTATGCTGGCTGGAATTAAGAGGTCTGTAATCAAACATTTCTGGAGACCATTAGATTGAAGAAAATGGTGACTGTAACTACACGAATTACATGTACATGCACAGATAGACTCAAAAACAGTTTAGTCAACTCTTCTTTAATTGGTAGAATGTATTGGAGCCCCTTTTCCCTCCCCCCACAAAACCCCACCATGATTAAATCCAGCATTTTGTTTTAATTTTTTTCTTTTTTTATGTACCTTAAGGATGTCATATCAAATTAATACACTTGTGAATGCATGTTTGTTTAATAAGGATACAGTATTTGTTGGAAGAGGACCTGGAAGATGAGGAGGAGGAACTGGGAATGCCTTCCTCCCCAGGACCTTCCTCTCTGATTATGCCTCAGGTTCCATCAGACAACCAAGAGGAACAGCCTGAGATTAATCAGAAGGAAGGCATATCGGAGCAGCCCCTGACAGGAAGTAAAGAGGAAGAGTGTTGGCTCGATCCTAAGCAGCGTCATAGGGAGAAATGTGAGCAGCAACGTAGGAGGCGTGGGAGGGTCAGAGAGTGAGCTGAGTCATTGAGCCACACCCCACAGAGGATAAAAGTGGGTGTGTTTTCTCCGGAAACTTTGTACGGGACAAAGTTTAACCTTACTTCAGATTTTCTTCATGAATGACTATTTTTGTGGACTGCCTTGTGATTTTCTGTGAGTAAAACTTTATCAGTTCGGACTTGGCAGACAGGACATGTGGGAATGCCAAGAATATTATCAGTTCCAAAGAATTAACTCTGTGAAGTCCGAGCCAGCTTGCCTGCCTGTGTTGGTGTGAGTTTGTACTCTTTCATATTTTGGGAAAGAGGAAAGGTGACACAGAACAGTATTTTAGGAGCTTTAAAATGTTTTAAAATATAAGAATCAAGCCCTTAATAATGTACTGATGTACCCATTATATCTTCCTCCATCCAAAAATATATATAAATAAAATACTCACGTTCTATATGCAACCTAAGAGAAACAAGTACACATTCTCTAGAATGTTGGAATCCAATTCCTACAGTCTATAGACCTTTGCTAAAACTAATGGAAATTGAATCCAAAACATCTGGAGAATATCCAATTGTGTATCCCTGAGGTGAGCAGAAAAGATTCTGCAGCTTGTCCACGGTTTCTGATGTATTCACATGCTATATTGGTCTTTCAATTTCAGTTGTCCTTTTCTGGAGTTTGGGGGCCCATCCTAAGGTATAATGTCAACATTTTATATGATATATTCTTTTAAATTCCAAATTCCTTAATTCTCATCTCGAACCTTTTGTGCAATTTATTTTAAGACCTGCCATAGTGTCATGCTATACATAGCTTATAAGCTTGGTTTACTCCAATTGTAAATTTTGTTTTTTAAAAAATCTAGAATCTATTCTATTGCAAAAACATGTGCTTTAATGAAGTTTTATTGTGGTTGCATGTCCAATAGCATAATGATTTACACATTCCTTTTTCTGGAATATTTAAAACCTTGGGCTTTTCTACATTTACACAATACTTGTAATACTGTACAAATGATCTAATTATCTGGTATTCTGAGGTTTTCCTGGAAACTGTGTTCCTGGGGTTGCTGAGCAAGTTGTAAAAGGCAATCTGTTGGCTATTTGGTATTCCCGTATCAGATCCACAACCATTCTTGTTTGGCCTTCTCATTTTTGAATTCTGTTATTTGCATTCTATTTCCAAAATTATTTGTGAGGGGGGAAAAATCGAACAACTAGCTGTGCTAGAAGAAAACTAAGCAGAGTTTCAAGTAAATATCCTATAGAATTGTTGCTATAAAATTTTGCAGGAAATCACAAGGAATTGTGTTTAAAAATGTATAGAACTTATTGCACATTAAATATGGCACAGAAAGACTTATTTCATGTTAAATACTCAGGGGACTGGGAAGGAACAGAAATAATAACTTAAAAATCTTTAGAGAATTGGTGATTATGCAAACTAATGATGACAAACTTGTCTTCTCATAAACTGTCAGAACTGGAGTGTTATAAGTATTATTACTAAAGAATAATTATGTTATTGAGGATCACCAAAAACAGAGATTTGCCAATGATTTCAAATGAATACTTGGATGAAGTATTTGTTGATAACATTTACAGCTGACTGTTGGGAAACTGAATGATAATATAAGATAAGAGCTTGTAGCACTTGCTCTGAAAAATAAAAACTTAAAAAGAGAGGCATTTTTACAATTCTTTAAAACATATTTGAATATATTACTTTATTCATGAGGTTATAAGAGTAACAATATAAATTATCAGCACAAATAGGTTAACTTGTATTAATAGAAACTATTTCCAATGCACATAAATCATAATTATTATATATCATATGACTTATTATCTGCTACAAAATACACAAAACTGGATTGCTCTTTTATTCTATAAAGTTTTATTTAGAAGAAGTTCCCAGAGACTTCAGTGGGACATAATTTTAGTTATAACTTTGGACGGTCTCTTATTACATAGTTCTTCTCAGATTATTCAGAGTAAAGTCTTCTTAAATTCTGCACCATTTAGTACTGAAGCATAAAATTAGAAATAAGAAGATGGGAAAAATCCTGATGAAACTGTAACCTATCTAGCATTTAGAGTTCTGCTAGATGGGTTACAGTTTCATCAAGTTTTTTCCCATCTTCTTATTTCTAATTTTATGCTACAGTGCAAGTCCTCATTTAGTGACCATTCAAAGTTACAACAGCACTGAATAAAATGACTTATGTCCATTTTTCACAGTTACAGCCTTTGTGGTATCCATGTGGTCATGTGATTAAAATTCAGATGCTTGGCAACTGGTTCATATTTATGACGCTTGCTGTGTCTCTGGGTCATGTGATCACCTTTTGTGACCTTCTGACAAACAAAATCAATGGGGAAGCCAGATTCACTTAACAACCGGATTACTAATTTAACAACTTCAATGATTCATGTAACAATTGTACCAAGAAAGGTCGCAAAATTCACTTAACAAATATTTCATTTCACAACAGAAATGTTAGGCTCAGTTGGAGTCGTAAGTTGAGGACTACCTGTACTGTTCTGGTTTTGTGTGATCATGTCAGATTTTTCTACCATATAATTGAAGCAAGAAGACA